ACTGTTTTTATTTACAATCATAAGTGGCCCTTGAATAGGTTAAGAAAAAGAGATGCTTGGACATAAATCATCCATCCAGGTGCTACCCATTTTGGTACTATATGTATTGCATTGAAAAGTTTGTATGACCATAAATTCGATTTACAATGTAACATCCAAAAATACGACCCAAAAATTTTGTTTTAATAATAATAAAAATCATATACTAAACGTCATATCATAAAACCATACGTCAAATATCTCAAATCATAATAAAATGTCGTGAATCAACTGTATCAAATCAGACTATGAATCAAAACAAACTCCCAGGGCAAAGACTGAAGTTGTGGTATATGCGATGCCATCAACCCGAGCTCTTCACTTTACTTGCAGAAGTACCTGAAACCAAAACTGAAACTGTAAGCATGAAGCTTAGTGAGCTCCCCTAAACTACCACATACCATACAATACATATAAATCACATACTAGGCCTTGCCCACTGCATCAGAATGAAGTCCGGAAACTGCATCAGATTGAAGTCCGAAATTGACTGGGACCTTGTCCCTTGCATCAGACCCGTGTTCGGAATTAGCTGCATCGGACCGAATTCTGGGATTGACAGCATCGGACCGAAGTCCAGAACTAACTGATCATAGCATAGCATAAACACATATCAACTAGCATAACACATATCATCTAACATACACATATACTGCATATTGCATCAGGCCGTAGCCCGAAACACATAACAGGTAAATCCTGTCTGAGCCACGAAGGCATCAAACATACTAACTACTGCATCGGACCAAAGTCCGGAGATTACTGCTAGCTAAACGGACCGACATTGTGGCCTTAGACCCGTTCCTATTGGAAGAAAACTCACCTCGTAATCTGGATGTTGAATGAACTAGTCGGGAAACTGTCTGTTGTTGCTCCGGTATCTCCCTGTCTACAAATTTCCATAAGTACACTCAATCAATCATTGATAACTATACTGAGGATAAAATGACTATTTTACCCCTGGTCAAAGTCAACCTATGGGTCAAAATCAACATTTAATTGACCTGACTTGTCGAGTTAGGTCACCAACTCGTCGAGTCCTTACTCTCACTTTCTTGCTTCTGCTCGCTACTACTCGTCGAGTTTGGCATAGACTCGATGAGTTCCTCTTCGATACTAACACTCAGTCAATTTGCATCCGACTCGACGAGTTGTATGAACAACTCGTTGAGTCCTCCTTCAACACATGAACACTCTGGCTGTGACTCGTCGAGCTGTATGAACAACTCGTCGAGTATGTTCTTGAGGTATGAAGGTTACCTTGGACTCGCCGAGTCAGGGCATTGACTCGCCGAGTCCCTACATGAATGAGTCCGATCTCCGAATCACTGAGTCCTCCCATAACTCACTAATTCCACTCGACATAACACATAAAAGGGAAGGACTCGGGGACTCGCGACCCGACTCGCCGAGTCGGAAGAACAACTCGCCGAGTCGGTTGCATGCAACACTACTTCGATGATTCTGCTCAAATCTAATGCATACAACTTATAGATATGGGTTCATAAAGCTTGGCTACCACGTAAAGTTTCCAACATTACGTGTACAAATGCATGAAAATGGATTTAAAGGCTAAAAAGACACTTGAAGAAATAGATCTAGGGCTTTCAAGAAAAAAAGGCTCCATAAAGGTGTTAGATCCACAACTTTGGGACTGAAACATGGCTAGACCCGGAGTCCAATCATCCCAATGTGATTTCTCCACAAAAAATAAGCTAAGGAATGGATAAAATGGTCTAAATATGATTTAACAAAGGAGAAATAATCATAACAACAGAGGGGATCCGATTTTTACCTTAATAACTCTGCAATAGATGCAAGATCTTGGACCTTCTTCTACTCCCTTGGATCTAGCTACTTTTTCTCTTCCAAAACTTCAAGATTCACACAATGAATGCTCAAAATGCTCAAGGAAAGGTTAGGGTTTTCTAAATGATGCTCTGAGGGTGAATGGGGACGAGGTTGGGGCTCATAACATGGCTTAAATAGGGTGCAAAGCCCGGAGATTTAGGGTTTCATTTAGACTAATGGACTCGCCGAGTCGCCAATGCAAACGTGCTCGAAATCCCATCTCTACTCGACGAGTCGGGCTACTGACTCGTTGAGTCCATCTTGAAACTTGAATAAATAATAATATTAAATAACATATCAGAATCGGGGCGTTACATACAAGCAATGGTTATATTTAACGACTTTAAGAAGATTTTGAAAGTGAAAAAATGCGGTTGAATGTAAAGAACTTGTCTTGAGCGAAAAATCTTGGAAAAAAATGTTTGATTACGGTAAAAGTGATGACTCCTTTGTTAAGGCTTTTGCGGTTATATGATTCAGATGAAAAGCCTCCATTGGGTTATGTTTATGAGGGAATATATCAGGAAAAATGAGGAGTAAATGAATTATTTAAGAAGAAAGAATTATACAAGCCTTATACTGAAATAATCGATCGTCGTTAGGATACGATGTTAAGAAAAAGTATTCATTGTGCAACGTATTGGTTGAATCCAGTTTTTTAGTATAATCATGAGAATGTTTGTTATAAGAGAGAGGTGTTCCAATGTGTTCTCAGTAATGTTGAGAAGAATTTTTCCAGTACAAGCATTTTAGATCTTACATTGTCTCTACGGAAGTTTCGTGACAGTGAAAGTACTTTTTGGTATATCTAGTGTCGTTGCTTCTTATACTAGTACTCGTCCAGATAACATTTAACTTTTGTATACTATTATAAACTATATTATTGTGAAATATATTTTTTTCTAACCATTTCATGTGTAGATGAGTGGTGAAAGTTATTTGGCGGAGATACTTCGATATTACAAAAATCTGCTATTAGAATAATAAGTCAAATAAGAGGAATCAGTTGGAACATCAAAGACTAAATGATATTGTATTTGTGCACTACAACTTGCGTTTAAAAAATAAATACATTATATTATAATAAAATATTTATTTAATAGCAATGTCATTTTATTTTCACAATTTTTTTGTGAATGATTTTGTAGACTCAAGGTTAATAAAAGGTCTTACGATCCTATTGACTACGAATATATTGGTTAGATGAACTTTTGGGTGGTTAAAAAAAGAGCCGGAAGGAAAAGTTGATTACAACGATTTAGAAAATACACTTGACGAGCAAGAGCATGAATCAACTTCTCAAACATGAGGTGACATTTTTTTCCCATAAATATTAACGTAGTGTTGTAATTTTAGTTTATTATTAATCTATTATGTGATGTTAACATTGTTCTTTTATATTGTAGAAAAAGAAACTGTTCTGTTTTTTATAATGATCAAGTTGACAATGAATTTCATTTACTAAGCGATCGTGAGATTGATGCAAATAGCACTCCAATGTCTCAAAATCCATAATTTGATTTGACCTTGATGCGCTACTTTTCATCTAAAACTACATTTTTTGTTTAAGTATTACGTTTTATGTTATTTTTGGATGTATTTGCATTGATGTAAAATTTATCGCAATGCATTTTTTTAAAGTGTTTCGATCGATTTACAAATTTTTTTATCATATGTATTTTTAATATTGAACTTGTGAATGTTAGATTCTTGGTTTTATCTTAATTATATTATAAAGTATATTTAACTTTTCTTGAATTTTAAGAGGTACATACTAGATGACTCAATGTACAAATCTGTTATGCACAAACCGCACATCTTTTTATGAACAAAAATAATTATAGTAAAAAAATATTTAAGGAAAGAAAATCAATTAACTTTATTTTTTTATTTTTCATTTCTAGCGTGGGCATGATATTTACCCAAAAGTCGGATATGAAAATTTTCTAACATATTACTCAGAAATTTATAGTTATTGAAATAATCAAATAACATTTTCTAAAAAAACCAATCATCAAAATAGTAATAATTGTCACCGCCGCTTTGTGCGGGTGCATACCTAGTATAATATTATATATGTAGAAAAATAAAAAATACATAAAAAATCAGAAAACCGGTTGAACCGACAGTTAAACCAGGACCGGTTCAATTAATAACTCGGTTTTTAAAACATTGCTTATATCCAAAATCCATTTTGCAAAAGTCTCCGTTTCTTGAATATCAAATGTTAGAACACTTAACCTCATGTAAGAGGAACTTAAAGAAACATTAACAATGTCTTACCTGCTTCCATTAGGGACAAGAACAGTGTCGTGATGTTTTTGCTAATGAAAATTTGCTGCCACATAAGTTTTACCGTTCAATATTTGCCTATGAATAGGATGTGATATCATTGTTGCCTACCAATAAAAAGAAATGTATTAAATGAAAATATTTGTTGCTTACCAATAAAAAGAAAGGTGTTAAATGAAAATATAGTTTAATTGTGCCTTCCTTATTGGTTATTAGTTATTCTGGATAAGCTTTTCATCTGTATATATGCACCAATCAAAATTACCGATGACAACAAAAACTATCTTGGGGTGGCAAACACGTAGCGACACACAAGGGTGGACACATGATTTCATAGTTGGGGTTGCACGAGAAGATTAGGGGTTGCACGGTAGTAGAAAAAATAAATTTTTTTAAAAATTTCAAATTTTTTTCCAAATTTAAGATTTGTCGTGCCACCCTGGAACCCCTAAATCCGTCACTGGTGACACATGCCATGTAACCTAGTTGATTTTACAATACCAAACATAATTTTAAAAACACATGTTCTAGTTAGAGTAGGTAGGTATCTTTAATTAAGTATGTTTTAAACATGTGTTTGACCATTTCTCAACCGGTATATATAATCAAATTTTATTGTCGTAAACATTTAGGTAAGACAATTTTTTATAATAAAAGATTTACAATATTGACATAACCCACAACTTTAATGAACAGATTATATTTCTTTTTGATAGAAACTTCATCCTAGAAAAAAAAAAAGCCATTATATTTCTTTTAGCCAAGACAAATTAAAAAGAAAAACTATTATGCTTTAAAAAAAAAAAAAGCAAATAAGACAAGTGGGTAATGCACGCTCTTGTTGTGAGATTGGGTCTTATAACCCGTTCAACCCGGAGCTACACGGTGTCGTTTTACTATCCCAGCGTCAGCCCTCAGGAGTCAGGTCAGACCAACATCGCGCGTTTCTTCCCAAAAACATTCTTTCCTCGAAAGCCGCAATCGATTAGGGATTCGCTCTGCTGTTTCTTCCTTGTTTATACAGAGCGAATCAAATTCAGGTTCGAATCATTATACATACATATTTCTTCATCCTTCCTGTTATTGTTTCCTTTTGGTTTTATACGGATTTCCGTTTGAATTTTGTATTCGTTTGAGAATTTCGATAGCAATCTTGTGCTATTGAATTTGTAGTTAGTTTAATAAATTCGATATAAGATTCATCAAGCTTGGGTTTGGGGATTTTGTAATTAAAAAGGGGTAAACTGGTTATATAGTTTCGAGGGTTTAGTGCTAATTATTTGGAGTATAAATGGGGAAACCTACGGGTAAGAAGAAGTTACAGGCTGGAGTTGAGAAAGTTGTGAAACAGAACAAAGCAGAAAGAAGTTCGAAACAAATCGATGAAGATACAGCTGTCTTCATTCAAATGTCTCAGGAGTTGAAGGAAGAAGGGAATAAACTGTTCCAAAAGCGTGATAACGAGGGGGCGATGTTGAAATATGAAAAGGCCCTAAAGTTATTACCTGGAAACCATATAGATGTTGCTTCTTTACGAACGAATATGGCTGGTTGTTATATGCAGATGGGTATCGGGGAGTATCCAAGAGCAATACACGAATGCAATTTAGCTCTTGAAGTTGCTCCCAAGTACAGCAAGGCTTTGTTGAAGAGAGCTAAGTGCTATGAAACTTTGAATAAGTTTGAGTGGGCACTGAGAGATGTTAGAATTGTGTTGGGTATGGAGCCTAACAATGTCACAGCTCATGAGATTGAAGATTCAGTTAAAAAGTCAATTGAAGGAAAGGGGCTGAAACTTGAAGACATTGAAGCTGTTCTATCACATGAATCTAATGATCCTTCTGCAGTGAAGGTTGTCAAAGTGCTGAAAGAGAAGCCGAAAAGAAGGAAAAACAATAATAGGGTTGACAGAAAAGATGTTGAAAATGGCAATAACAGCAAGATTGAAGAAGTTACAGAAAGCAGGAGTGAAGAATCCAAGGAAATCAAAGGTGAAGATGCTAAGGACAGAAAGAACAAGGCGAAGAGAGTTAGGGACAAAAGGGCCAATCATGTTGAAGAGAAGAAGGTTGAGGGTACAAATGGTATAAAAGAAGAAATAGTTGCCACAAGGACAGTGAAGTTGGTGCTTGGAGATGACATAAGGTCAGCACAGTTACCTTCTGATTGCAGCATTGGTTTTGTAAGGGAGATAGTTTGGGATCGTTTTCCTGGTTTAGAAGGCGTTCTTATAAAATACAAAGATCAAGAAGGCGATTTGATTACTATCACAACAACATCCGAATTGAGGTTAGCTGAAGCTTCAAGTGATCCTCAAGGCTCTTTGAGACTATACTTAGTAGAAGTTAGTCCAGATAAAGAGCCATCTTACGAAGGGTTCACAAATGATGGATTCCACAACACCAATAGCTTAAAATCTAGTGTTTCAGAGAACGGAAACATGGGACAAATGTCACAGATCTCACAAATCAAGGAAGTAGAGAAAGTAACAACATGTGTAGAGGACTGGATTGTCCGATTTGCAAGAATGTTCAAAGATCATGTGGGATTCGAATCTGATTCGTATTTGGATCTTCATGAGCTAGGAATGGATGTATATGCAGAAGCAATTGAAGAAACTGTCACCACTGAAGACGCCCAAAAGCTTTTTGATATCGCAGGAGGAAAATTCCAAGAAATGGCTGCTTTAGGGTTGTTCAATTGGGGGAATGTTCACATGAACAAAGCAAGAAAATGGGTTGTTTTTGCAGAAGAAGGAAATGGAAAACATGAGCAGGTGAAAACAGGATACGAATGGGCAGAAAAGGAATATGTAAAAGCAGGAAGACGATATGAAGAGGCTCTAAAGATCAAACCTGATTTTTTCGAAGGGTTTCTTGCACTTGGTCAACAACAGTTTGAACAAGCAAAGCTTTCATGGAGTTATGCAGTTGGAACAAAAACAAGTTTAGATGCAAAAATCTTGGAGCTTTACAACAAAGCCGAAGACAGCATGGAACATGGAATGCAGATTTGGGAAGAATCGGAGGAAGAAAGGTTGAATGGGTTGAGTCTGTATGATAAGTATAGGGAGGATTTGGTAAGATTGGGATTGGAGGGGTTCTTGAAAGAAGTTTCTACTGATGAAGCTGCTGAACAAGCTGCTCATTTGAGATCTCAGATGTATATTTTATGGGGGACTTTGCTTTATGAAAGATCTGTTGTTGAATTCAAAATGGATCTGTCAGCATGGGAAGAATCTTTAGCTGCTTCTGTTGAAAAATTTGAGCTTGCGGGTGCATCACCAACGGATCTTGCAGTCATTATAAAGAATCACTGCTCAAATGGAACAGCTTCTGCAGGTAATTTAGATTTTAGACAAAAAAAAAAAAAAAAAAAAGTCCCCTTGTGCTTTTCTGATTTTTTACTATATTTTTCAGGTCTTGGTTTTAAAATTGATGAAATCGTTCAAGCATGGAATGAGATGTATGAGGTTAAAAGATGGCAGACTGGTGTTCCCTCTTTTCGCCTTGAACCGCTGTTTAGGCGTCGAGTCTCAAAATTGCATTCTCTCTTGGAAATGGAACATCATTGACATTTCCATTTTTACCCTTGGTGTGATTTAGTCATGTAAGTTGGCTAATCTTTTATCTCTTTTTTTTTTTTTTTTGAGATGGATTGATGATTGAAATTATACAATTGATGTAATTTACAGGTTTCTTTGTAGATTCATTGTCGTTTTCTTTTTTTAATTGTTTATTTCAAGGACAAAAAGGGTTCCGATAAGTGGCCAGAAGCCCATTTATTCATTGGTTTGGACTTTGGTGGTATACTCTTTACTGTGGGATTGATTAAAGTATTCCTTTGGTTTTATTTTTTGTATTAATTATTGGATAGTTTTGTTCACACAGATTTGAGTATTGTCTAGTGTAAAACATTCATTGTTAATTTGTTATAGCTTTCTCTTTGCTCATGGGAGCAAATAGGGTTGCAATTTGTGCATTGCTTTTGTAATTTGTTTTGTTTGTTAAGGATATATGATATGATTGTTTTTGTCAACATTTCTTTATATCGTTTCTTCTTTGTTTCTTATTTCACAATAGTCCTGATCAAAGTTTCGGTTAGGATTAGTAGGCAAATGGTTAGGGTTAGTTGGAAGTCTTTGTTTTACTTTTAACTTAACATTTTGGAATTTATATATTGCGACACTAAAGACTTACAAAAAACTGAAATTAGTTTACAGAATTATGAAAAAAGATACTACTGAATCCAAAAGTTGATTTTTATGTTTATAAAATTCATCACATCCAAGCTTAATATAAAATTACAGGATTTGCCCCTATTATCTCATTTACCAGATATATTTTGGATTTCGGATGCTTTAAAATTAAAGTTGGTTTCCTTTTTCATTCGTACTATAAGTTCTAACAAATTTTCTATCGACCCCATCCAGGTTCACGGTTTTGTTTTCTTCTTAATTAAAATGATAGCATATAATGCTCTTATTTTGTAATATACTTTGTCGTTGGTAACTTTTTTTTAGTTTTGATATTCTGCATGTCGGAGACATTATTTGGATTTGGAGTGCGAAATGACCTATATTTTGAAGGTTTGACGTTAGAGTAACATTTTTTTTTTGTGCTTTTTATATTGCATTGAGAATATTATTTAGCTGCATGTGCTAAAAATAGGACATAAGGGTAAAATACCAAACCATTGGTTTTTTATTTCGGTTTTAGTTTTTCATTTTTTAAAATATATTTTCAAGGGTTTTTTTTTTCATAGCTTTTTTCATCAATAAATGATGCTAGATTTTAACAAAAATAAATAATTTGCTAAAACATAATATAATAGGAAGTTTGTTCACATTAGTCATTGAACATTTTTAGAGGGAAATGAACTTTCGATTTTGTTTATATTTAGTCACTAGTTTTTTTTTTGTTATCTCTTTGCCACTGAACTATTGAAAGTGTTCACATTTTACCCTTATGATCAGTAACAATCGGTCATAAGGGTAAAATGTGAACAGTTTCAATAGTTCAGTGGCAAAGAGATAACGAAAAAAAATTAGTGATTAAATGTGAACAAAATCGAAAGTTTAGTCATTATCCTTTTATTTTTGCCACCATTGATTTTGTAGGCTAGATTTGGATTCATTTTTTTTTTCTATTAAAATTAAAACTTCGATTTATTGGAAGCAAAAGTTTAGTATTTACAATAATGTTAAATAAAAAATCAGAAATTTAATAATCTTACGACAATAATTCTTTTTTCAGTTATATGTTAAAAAACATTATTTATTTATTTATTTCTATATTTTATTGTAATAAAAAAGGCATATTATATTTCGATAGACCAAAGTTTATCTCAAAGCTCCATCAAACACATTATTTTTTTTATTTTCAATCCTAGAATAATAATTGAGTTTGATTATAAATATAAATAGAATTTTATTTTTTGATAAAATAATTCAAATCAAGTATAAGACATGGAAACTAAAAAAAAGTTTGTAAAAAAAAAAACCTAAAGAGTTATTTTGTCTAGCATTTTATAAGGTCTAGGAATGGAAAGGGCATTAGATTAAATTAAAAAAGTTTATTTTAAAAAAATAATTTAATAGATAAACAATAAAAGAGTAAACTGCAAAATTGGTCATCGTAGTTTACGAAAAATTGTGGATAAGATCCAAAAAGTTTCCAACTTGCATGGGAGGTCCAAAATCAAATACTTTCTGTGGTTTTAGTCCTAATATTAAGAAATTTTTGTGGTTTTGGTCCAAAGAGAATTTAAAAGGACGATTTTGCCCTTCTAATTTCTTTTTTTGTATTTTTTATATATTTATTTTAATCTTTTATCAACTAAAAGTAAAAAAAATAAATGAATAGGCCTCTGTCTCTCATGGATGATATGATTATGATTATGCATTTCATCCTCTTTTCAAAAACACTAAACGCTGCTCACCATGATGATTTCCATCAGCCTAATTACATCGTAGCTTCCATCAACCTAATTTGAACAAAGATGGAGAAAACATGGTCGGAAAAATATACTCGTTGAGTTGAGACAACTCAATGATATACTAATTCCACCATTATTGGAATCAGATGCCCATGAACCTACTACAATCTCAGCCCTACCTCCGGATGCTTCCAACATCGCCGCCCATCACTACCACTCTTTATTCGTTACTTCTCAAGGCCACCTCTGACCTTTCTATATGGATTTGGGGGAAATCGAAACAGAGTCAATTAGGTCTTGGAATTGGAATCACAGAGCTTGCTGATAAGAGAGTCATTTGAAGCAAAATGTTTGGGAGGAGATGAAAGTTACCAGATTCTATGTTCGGAATCACAGAACTTTTTCGATTTGAGCATGAGACGTATGCTATGAGAGTTATCAGATTCAAAATCTTTTCATATGATTAATCCATTATGGGTGTCTTGGTCAAGAAGATGATATGAGAGACATGGAAGCCTTTCCCTTCAATCACAGGTTAGAGGTCGAACTGAACTCATATGAATCGATTCAACATAGGTCTTATAAAATTATGGGCTTGATTGCTAGGGATATTGCAAATATAGGGCTTGTAAATTTAAGATTCAAACCTGCAACTTCATTGTTGAGTGTTTCTATGTGTGTGTATCTATGTTTGTTAGTGTATATGAGTGTTGAATTAGTAAGATGTTGATAGAGAATAGATAAAGGGAGACAGGGGGACACGAGAGTGATTAAATAAGATGATGCAGGTAGAAGTAGGATTTTGCAGGTGAAAGGGAGAGGGGATGATGGCAAGGATGATGTTGGAGTTCCGATGCTTATCGGAGTTCCGGTGTTCACCGAGAATCTTGGTTTATAACAAAGCACACATCCATACACATTTTTTGTTCTGAAATTGTTCTTGATTTGCAAGTTGTGTATGAGAGAGAGAGAGAGAGAGAGAGAGAGAGAGAAAGTCAAATGGGAAGAACAAAGGAGAAGAACGACGGGTTAGGGGCGTTCTTTTTCTTTTTAATTAAAAAAGTATTAAAGTAAAAATAAGGAAATAAAAAAAAGAAGCTAAAAGGGAGAAATGGACAGTTTAACTCTTTTAGGACTAAAATCACAGGCAATTCTTGGTTTTGGACCATCCATGCAAGTTGAAAACCTTTTGGACCCTATCCACAGTTTTTGTGGAACCACATGGACCAATTTTGCAATTTTGTCATATATATATATATATATATATATATATATATATATATATATATATATATATATATATATATATATATATATATATATATATATATATATATATATATATATATATATATATATATATAGGGTCAATGGAAAACAAAAAACTCTAAAAATCATAAAAATGCATAAAAAAATACTTAGAGAAACACAAAACTTTTTTTTTAATTTTTTACGAAAAAAAGCAGGTTTTTAAATAAATTCGCTGATATTTTTTGAAAAATTTTATTTTATTTTATTTTTTAAAATTTTTTTTTAAAAAAAATTGATTTTTTTCAACGAATTTATTAAAAAACCTGCGATTTTTTATAAAAAATTTTTAAAAAAAGCTTTGTAATCTCTAAGTATTTTTTTTATGTATTTTTATGATTTTAGGATTTTTTAGGGTTATTTTGTTTTTCAAATAAACCTTCCCTATATATATATATATATATATATATATATATATATATATATATATATATATATATATATATATATATATATATATATATATATATATATATATATATATATATATATTACACTACGTGCTGGAATTGGAACAGTGGCTTGGGACCCCTCAAGCTCCACTAAGGTCCGCCACTATGTCTAACAAGATTGCTTTTTATAGAAATTGTAAACCATAAGTAATATGGTTTTAAAAAATAAGAGTAAATTACACGAATGATCCATGTGGTTTGGGGTAATTTGCATGTTTGATCCCTATTTTTTTTTAAAACTCGGAAGGTCCATAAAATTTGTTTTTGTTGCGCGTTTAATCCCTGTCATACTTACAAAGACTATTTTTCCCCTTATCATTTAATTTATTTAAATAATGTGAGACATGTAAGGTAAAAGTAAGGTGAGATGGAAGTGAGTTAGGGGTGTATTTATTTAAATAAATCAAAAAATTAAGGGAAAAATAGTCTTTTTAAATAAGACAGAGACCAAACGCAATAAAAACAAACAATAGAGACCTTACGAGTTAAAAAAATAAGTTAGGAACCAAACGTGCAAATTATCCGAAACCATAAGGACCATTCGTGTAATTTACTCAAAAAATAAATGTAACGCACAAGAATTTAAGCCAAATTTTAAATTTTCAAAACACGTCGAATTCATCAAAACATTACAATTTTGTTTTCAAAATACATTTATATCAGAGTTTTCCCAGAAACATAACGTAATAGGAGGAGTTGTACGATCATGCCTTCGCCTTGCCGCGATCCCCAGAGGTACTTGAAATAATAAACTGAAACTGTAAGTCCAAGAGCTTAGTGAGTTACCCCCCAAAATACTGATACACATATAGTCTGTATAACCATATCACATCATAATATATCATAACAAATTGAGCAGAACAACACATAACGGGTCCACAGCTTTACAGACTGGAATACCCCTGGGCCCACAGTGTGAGTCTGGAATGCCTACCGGGCCCTCAGCTCACATTTGGATTGCCACCGAGCCCTCAGTACGAGTTTGGAATGCCTACTGGGCCCTCAGCTCGTATCTGGAATGCCCCCAAGTCCTCAGTATGAGTCTGGAATGCCTACCGGGCCCTCAGCTCATATCTGGAATACTCTAGGGTTTGTTGTCTACCGCACGGAGCAGTACAACCTCAACCCATCCTACATAACATATCACATGTAACAAATAATGCACATACAGGAAATCAATTAGTATCACAGGTAGTCCTACAGACCTACCCTCAAGCGTATCAAACTAGCATGCATAACTAACTCATACTCAACATAAAACAACTACTAGGATATCATATCCAATAGGCCGACCTTGGTGCCTTAGATCCCTTAGTATAGTGAGGATAACTCACCTCGCAACT